CTGTCTACCGTTCCAGGAATGTGACTCCACCTGGCAATCAGGACCCCAAACAGTGTGGTCAAGTTCTAGGAGAAAGAACAGGGACCTGGACCCACCTGCACCAGGAGCAGTCCTTCACGTCAAACCGCAGCAGGTCGTTGAGCATCGTCTTCCTGAAACACAGCCAGGGAGAGGCGGGCTTGGTCCTGGTCTGCTCTGCGGGGCGTTGCCCAGCCAAGACCTAGCAGATGGACGCTGCAGCCCAGGAGGTGGGAGAGTTGTCCTAGGAGACTTAGCCAGGGCCAGACACCAGCTGACGCCTGAGGAACCAGAGAGGTGACCACAGAGGAAGCTCCTGAGCTGGTGCAGGCACAGGGGCTGCCTGCTGGGAGTCAGGCAGGACCGAAGCGTGACCCCAGCCACCCACCGCCTGTGCCTGCCCACACCTCAGGGAGGCCCCTCCCCTTCTCTCTGATCTTCCTGCCACCTCTTTATCACAAAGCCAGGGTAGCAACTACATTTTAAAGATACAATAAAATGATGGTGAATACACAGTGCAATATATAGATGATGTATTTTAGAATTGTACACCTGAAACCTATATAACTTTATTAACCAATGTCACCCCAGTAAATTCAATTAAAAATAAATAATAAACAACCAAAAAAGATAAAATAAAACAGAAAGCAAATCCACTGGCCATGACACCACCTGTTAATACAACCTGCATGTTACCACCCAGCCCTGTCACTAAGAGGGAAGAAGGGTGTCAACCCAACAGGAGTCCAGCACCCCCTGCCTAGCTCAGTCTGCACCAGATGGCTGAGCTCTCCACTTCCATTTACAGAAGAGGAAACAGCCTGGAGATAAAAGGACCCGTCTGAGGCCATGCAGCCAGGAAGCCAGGAGCTGGGAAGCAGAGTGTGACAGTAATTCCCCCCCCCTCCCATTTGCCCCTCCTCCCTGACCTTCGATGCCCCCTCTTCCCCCCCCAACGCTACAGGCCATCTTTCCTTGTACCCAGTCCGTCTACAAAGTTACAACTGTATTAAGACAAATTTGTATTGTTTCTCAGTGTCACATTGTAGCAAAAATAGTTCTGCTTGTTGCTCCACAGTTCACTACAGAACACTTCCCCACCCACCGCTGTGCTGGACATCAGGCATTTCCAGTTTGGGGGATTCTCACGGAATGTCTTTCATTCCTTCATGGGACAAACACCTGTCAAATTGTCTGGGTGCTGGGATACAGGCCTGCTCTGGAGAAAGACAGTTAACAAAAGACCCTGTATGCCCTGGGACCAATGGAGCCGGGAAGAGGGTGCAGATGGTCCAGGTGGTCGGGGAAGGCCTTCACTCACAGGTGATTCAGAGGAAGAGCAGGAGGGGAGAGCAGCAAGGCAAAGTGCCTGGCAGGGTGGCAGCGAGGGCTGACGTGTTTCTTTCAAGGCTCTGTCCACTCGGTCAGAACAAGAGGGGAAATTTCTGTGTCCGGAGCATATGCTACCCATGCTGTGCTGAGGGGCCTGAGGGCAGGGAACCTTACCAACTGGGAAATGGAGGTTGAATGCTTGGCTAACATTTGTATAGGCCAGTGGTTCTCAACCTGTGGGTCGCGACCCCTTTGGGGGTCGAACGACCCTTTCACAGGGGTCGCCTAAGACCATCGGACAACACATATATAACTACATATTGTTTTTGTGATTAATCACTATGCTTTCATTCTGTTCAATTTGTAACAATGAAAATACATCCTGCCTATCAGATATTTACATTACGATTCCTAACAGTAGCAACATTACAGTTATGAAGTAGCAACGAAAATAATGTTATGGTTGGGGGTCACACAACATGAGGAATGTATTAAAAGGGTCGCGGCATGAGGAAGGTTGAGAACCACTAGACAGTAGTGGAACTGCAGAAGCCTCGTCCAAACCACCATGTTTGTCCCTCCCTGGTCCAAACACCCTACTGCTCCGACTCACTCACCCATTGTCTCCACCAAATACGTAGATGGCATCTTTATAGGCCACAACTGTGTGCTTGCTGCGCCTGGAAAGAAAAGAGGGGTGGGTAGAGATGAGACCAGGACCCTCCCTCCGGGGGGCACCCAAGAAATAAGACCAAACACCGGGGCTGCCACAGAAGTTGGATAACACCTCTCAGCTATCAAGATGAACAGAAACCCCTAAATTCCACCAGTACCCCCCCGCCAAATAACCCTGCATGTGGGGACCCTGTCATTGTCCTAGGACTCTCTGGACTCCTCATCCCACTGCAGAGCACCTGGGACCTCAGCTGGAGACCCACAACATGACTCTGGTGCCTGACCCCTGGCCACCCCGCTCCGCTCCGGGACTCCCTCAAAATCCCCGCCACTGCCCCGGGCATCGCCCAGGACACCACCACTCCACCCCCCATTACCAGATCCCGCTCCAGGACACCGTGCCCCAGCCTTTTCCCTGGAACCCACCATGAAACCCTCTCGGGCATCCTCCCCACCCCCAAGATCCTGGACCCACGCCGTACCGAGCCCCCACGAACTCGTCGCAGGGCGGGAGGCGCCGCCAGCGATGCACAGTCTCGAAGGGCCCGAAGTTGAGCGTCAGGTACTCGACACTGTCCGAGCAGCTGTGGTCAAAGTCCACGCTCGGGGCTACCTTGGACCGCGCGCCGCCTGCCAGGGCCCCGGCCCCAATCGGGCCCCCCGAGCCGCCAGTCCCAGCCATCCCGGGTCCACGCCAGATCGGTCACCCGGTCCGCGGGACTCGCAGCCACCGCCCTGGGCCGCCGGGAGGGACTACATTTCCCGGCGTGCACTGGGACAACGGCGCAGCACTTCCGGCTGGTGCCACGCTTTGGTCCGTCGGCGTTTCCTGACAAGCCTAAAGCTCATCGTGGCCCAGCTGGCGGGCGCAGCACCTGGTACCCGAGGTTGTGGGAAACAGTCCCCACGGAGTGCGGGCACCCGATCCCCAGCCCCGTCCGACTGCACTTCCCCGACGCCTGCCCTGCCACACGCCGTCCGGAGAGCGGCCGCTGTTCCCGGCATGCCTTGTCTGCGCGGGGCTCGGCCGTGATCGTCCGCCGCTCCCGGGGTCCCTGGTGGACGGTTCCGAGCTCGCAGCGGCCTCCGCCGGCAGCCAACTCTTCCCCTTCCTGCTTGGGACCCCAGCCCGAACCTGCCGCCGCGTCTACCCTCCTTGTTCTTATTGGCTGAGAGGCAGCGTAGCGCAGAGGCCCTGGATTCTTATCTCTTAACAGCAGAGCCTCAGTTTCTTCACCTGCGAAATGCGGCTTTGGAAAGCTCTGGCTGCCTTGAGAAGCTTGAGGTCTGTCTCAGGACCTAGCTCCTACAGCCCTAAGTGGGCAAATGCCCGCAAACTGCCAAACGCGTGCTGCCTCTGAGCGCTGAGAAAGCACGCCCTGTCTCAAGCCCTTTGCACCTGCAGTCTCTTCTACCTGAAATGCCCTTCCTTCAACACCCAAAACCAAGACGCTGGTTGGAGAAGCCCTTCCTAACCCCCGGGGCAGAATCAGTTGCTCCCTCTCCTGGGCACTCAGGGGCCAAACTTCCTTGGTGTGGCCCTGAGCAATCTATGGTTGTGCCTGTCTCCCTGTCATGTGCTTTCTCCCCCATGAGTGTCTGCCCAATTACAGTGGAAGTCACACAGATCTGCAAATGTGTGCGTTTTAATTTTGAGATAATGTCTAATATGTTGCAGGGTCCTACAGGGGATCAGTCCCAATAGAGGGAGATGAGGCAGGGCCTGTCCCACCTCCGCTGCCAGCCATTGGTGGCAGTCGAGGCCTTGGGTGGTGAGCATCTCTTGGAAACAGTGGAGGCCTCTTTGGAGGTGAGCCAGGCAGCTGACGGCAAGCACTGGAAGGGCTCAGGTTCTGCCCTGGGGGATCCTGGGAAATTGGAGGTTGGCACCTGCCCCCAGGGCTTGGTCTCTGTCCCTGGTGCCCGAGCATGCCTGCCCAAGTCTGCTGCATGCAAGCTCAGGATCCTTTCCCTGTGAGCCAGGACATGTCGCCGGTCCTGCAGGAAGGAGGGGAGGAGGAGTCAGGGTGGAAGAAGAGCGCAGGCTCCCCACTCAGCACCATGAGCAGCTGGCCCTTGAGGACAGCAGGGGTCTGGTGTGCAGCAGGGATGTACTTGGGTAAAGGGGAAAGCCCATCAGGTGCAGACTCTGGGCTGAGTGGGGAACGGCTCGGAATGGTGAACAGGAAGGCCAGGGCACACGTACTTGCTGTGCAGCAGAAACAGCCTTTGCGAGTGCAAGAGGGAGAGACAGAGAAGGCCAGGGAAGAGCATGTCATTTATGTCCCCTCTTGGTGGTCCGTTGTTGCTAGTCTGAAGCCTACCCCCTTCCCATGGCCTCCAGGCTTCCCCCAGTCCCTGGAGGCTCTTAGTAGGCAGGTCAAACCTACAGGG